TTGACAAACCGATTTCAAGATTCATTTGGCAAGAGAAACAACCAAGGACCAGATTTAAAACTTTACAGCTGAGTAAAAGTAAAGGAGGCCTTGCACTTCCCAACATGAGAAACTACTACCAAGCAGCCCGAATAAACCCATTGGTGGAGATCTGTGACTCCTCCTACAAAGCAAGATGGAAGAGATTGAATGTATAAACAGTGGTGTCCCTTTGCAATTAGAAATATTGACTTCATAAAAGACCTTAAAGAACTCAATCCATGTTCTGAACCTGCATTTAAGACCTGGTCAAAACAATGAAGTCCTGTTTACCAGTCAGATGGTCCAAGATTTTACCCCAAATCAAACAGAAAATACTTTTAAAAATGGATTGAAAAGGGTTTGGTAAAATATAAACAATGACTTATTTCATAAAGGCTCCTGAGGACCTTTCAAGATATTAAGCAAAAATAGCAGCAAATCAGGCTGATTTGCTGCAGCAGCTGATTTGCTGCAGCAGCTGATTTGCTGCAGCAGCTGATTTGCTGCAGCAGCTGATTTGCTGCAGCAGCTGATTTGCTGCAGCAGCTGATTTGCTGCAGCAGCTGATTTGCTGTTTGCTGCTCAGCAACAAACATTATTTTACATCAACTTCTAAGTTATGAGAAACTTCATTTAAAATCATCTGGAGGCTCAGAACCGACCCGGTACCGGTACCAGAACCGACCCGGTACCGGTACCAGAACCGACCCGGTACCGGTACCAGAACCAACCCGGTACTGGTCCACATTCCAGGGCAGAAAGACTCACATGGTATAAATGACATGTTAGCTATTGGAGCTGAAGAGAAATGAATTGAATGTGTTTCTGCAGTGATTGCAGTTTTCTGACCTTTGACCTGCTGATTTTGGCTCATATGAATTTATTGAGTCTGAAAAGTTTCTGAATGTAGCAGCAAAGTCTCTGAGTTGCTAACAGTGAATATTAGCTGTAAATGTTGAGACTGACCTGGTCTGTCAGTCCAACTGTCTCTGCACAAGGACAGAGATGATGGACATCATGATGGACATCAGATCAGCTTCACATGTCAGAATCGGCCGATTACGATGCCCCAAAATGAAGGACATCTACTGCTCCAGTTTACAGATATAGAGCTTACAGATCTAGAGTTTATAGAGAAAGTGTTTATAGATCTAGAGTTTATAGAGAAAGTGTTTATAGATCTAGAGTTTATAGATCTAGAGTTTATAGAGAAAGTGTTTATAGATCTAGAGTTTATAGAGAAAGTGTTTATAGATCTAGAGTTTATAGAGAAAGTGTTTATAGATCTAGAGTTTATAGAGAAAGTGTTTATAGATCTAGAGTTTATAGAGAAAGTGTTTATAGATCTAGAGTTTATAGAGAAAGTGTTTATAGATCTAGAGCTTATAGATCTAGAGTTTATAGATCTAGAGTTTATAGAGAAAGTGTTCATAGATCTAGAGTTTATAGAGAAAGTGTTTATAGATCTAGAGCTTATAGATCTAGAGTTTATAGAGAAAGTGTTTATAGATCTAGAGTTTATAGAGAAAGTGTTTATAGATCTAGAGTTTATAGAGAAAGTGTTTATAGATCTAGAGCTTATAGAGAAAGTGTTTATAGATCTAGAGTTTATAGAAAGTGTTTATAGATCTAGAGTTTATAGAGAAAGTGTTTATAGATCTAGAGTTTATAGATCTAGAGTTTATAGAGAAAGTGTTTATAGATCTAGAGCTTATAAAGTGTTCATAGATCTAGAGCTTATAGATCTAGAGTTTATAGATCTAGAGTTTATAGAGAAAGTGTTCATAGATCTAGAGTTTATAGAGAAAGTGTTCATAGATCTAGAGCTTATAGATCTAGAGTTTATAGAGAAAGTGTTTATAGATCTAGAGTTTATAGAGAAAGTGTTCATAGATCTAGAGCTTATAGATCTAGAGTTTATAGAGAAAGTGTTCATAGATCTAGAGTTTATAGAGAAAGTGTTCATAGATCTAGAGCTTATAGATCTAGAGTTTATAGAGAAAGTGTTCATAGATCTAGAGTTTTTAGAGAAAGTGTTTATAGATCTAGAGTTTATAGAGAAAGTGTTTATAGATCTAGAGTTTTTAGAGAAAGTGTTTATAGATCTAGAGTTTATAGAGAAAGTGTTTATAGATCTAGAGTTTATAGAGAAAGTGTTTATAGATCTAGAGCTTATAGATCTAGAGTTTATAGAGAAAGTGTTCATAGATCTAGAGCTTATAGATCTAGAGTTTATAGATCTAGAGTTTATAGAGAAAGTGTTTATAGATCTAGAGCTTATAGATCTAGAGTTTATAGATCTAGAGTTTATAGAGAAAGTGTTTATAGATCTAGAGTTTATAGATCTAGAGTTTATAGATCTAGAATTTATAGATTTGTTTTACAGTAAATTATTTATACTTTATTTTAATGATGATTTTCAGTATTTTGAAGTTTCTAATGTCTGATGAAACAAAAAATTTTTCTGGTAAAAATATGGATTAAATAATGAAAACAGTAGAAAACATGATTAGATTACATTACAATAATTATAATAATGTGAAGTTGAAAGTGATGAACTTTATAGCAGTTTTAGGGATTATTATAGGCAATAAACTCAGTATTAGACATAAATATTCAGTATTTATGTCTAATACTGAATATATTAGACATAAAGTTGCCAAAACTACTGGAATGTTGTTTACAATACAAGGTTGAATAAATGCTAAAGGTTTGCCTTATTTGCCTAAGAAATCTCAGAAAATGCAAGTAAAACATCATTTTAGTGAAGTTGCAAAAAAGCCACTAGGCTTATTAATAATGTGGATATCATGAGCCAATTAATAAACTCTTTATTCTAATAAAACTTTAAAGATATCGTACATAGAAAACTATTATCTATAAAGCTCTGAACAAACATTTTGCTTCTGGTGGAGAAATGATTTAAGAGAAGAGAATAAATATAATTTATGAGGTTTGTTAATATCTGAGGATTGAGATTAAAACTAAAACAACCTTAACATGTAAAATGATGAACTGTTAGTAGATCCATGTTGTTTCTGCTTTAGCTGCAGAGGAACAGAAGTTTTTCTCTGATTCATCCGGATGCGTTTTGGTAAATGATGGTTTTGTTTATTATCATTTTTGTTTCAAGTTGATAATTTACCAACGTGACCTGAACTGATGTTGGCATCGTTGCATCAATTGGATGAAGCATCGAAAAACAGATTTCTAAGTTATTTAGACAACGTTTATTGCATTTAGGTTTTATTGAATCTGTTCGTTTAGGAAAGTATTCACACCCTGGAACTTTTGCACATTTTGCCTCATTATAACCATAAACATAAGAATATTTCATTGGAATTGAATGTAATTCAATTGTGAAGTACAAAGAAAATTAAACCTGATTCAACACAATTTTTACAAATAAACTGAAAAGTGTGGTGTGTAAATGTATTTACTCTGAATTCAACCAGCTGCCTTCAGAAGTTGCTTGATGGTTGATAATGACTCTCTGAGTCCAGCTGTGTGTAATCTGATCTAATCTAATCTAATCTAATCTAATCTAATCTAATCCCAGTGATATCCCAGCTGCTCTGTGACGCCTCAGAGGTTCAGAGATGATCTGGAGCAGCAGAGCGCTCCAGGGGTTTAGAGCAGGCTGAGCTGAGGGTTTCAGGGTCCAATCAGAACCCAGAGTCTGATTGGACTGAAGGTCCAATCAGACTCTGGGTTCTGATTGGACTGAAGGTCCAATCAGAACCCAGAGTCTGGCCCTAATATTCTAATGAGACAAAATATGGAAAAGCTGGAGTGGTGAAAACTTCTGGCCACCTTGAATCATTTATCAGAGCTGAATTGATTCTGTTTGGACTGAGAGTCAAAAATGGTCAAAATTGTTCAAACCAAACAGAAACATTTTTTATTTTGAAAGCTCAACAGCCATTTTGTTTCTGATTTTTAGGGTCAGATTTATTGCTGAGTCGGTAAAGTTGCTGTAAATAACCCGGCCCGTCGGGGTTCGGGTCGGGGTTCGGGTCGGAGGCCCGGGTCGGGGTTCGGGTCGGGGTTGGGGTCGGGGTTGGGGTCGGGGTTCGGGTTGGGGTTGGGGTCGGGGTTCGGGTCGGGGTTCGGGTCGGGTTTCGGGTCGGGGTTGGGGTCGGGGTTGGGGTCGGGGTTGGGGTCGGGGTTCGGGTCAAGGTTCGGGTCGGAGGCCCGGGTCGGGTCGGGTCGGGGTTCGGGTCGGGGTTGGGGTCGGGGTTGGGGTCGGGGTTGGGGTCGGGGTTCGGGTCGGAGGCCCGGGTCGGGGTTGGGTCGGGGTTCGGGTCGGGGTTTGGGTCGGGGTTCGGGTCGGGGTTGGGGTCGGGGTTCGGGTCGGGTTCGGGTCGGGTTTCGGGTCGGGGTTGGGGTCGGGGTTGGGGTCGGGGTTGGGGTCGGGGTTCGGGTCAAGGTTCGGGTCGGAGGCCCGGGTCGGGGTTGGGGTCGGGGTTGGGGTCGGGGTTGGGGTCGGGGTTGGGGTTGGGGTTGGGGTCGGGGTTGGGGTCGGGGTTGGGGTCGGGGTTGGGGTCGGGGTTGGGGTTGGGGTTCGGGTCGGGTTCGGGTCGGGTTTCGGGTCGGGGTTCGGGTCGGAGGCCCGGGTCGGGGTTGGGGTCGGGGTTCGGGTCGGAGGCCCGGGTTGGGGTTCGGGTCGGGGTTCGGGTCGGAGGCCCGGGTCGGGGTTGGGGTCGGGGTTCGGGTCGGAGGCCCGGTTGTTGGGGTTCGGGTCGGGGTTCGGGTCGGAGGCCCAGGTCGGGGGGGTCGGGGTTGGGGTCGGGGTTCGGGTCGGGGTTGGGGTCGGGGTTGGGGTCGGGGTTCGGCTGTTTACCCCAAACCAAAAGCAACAGACCTCAGAGCTAAACACAGTAACAGACAACGTCTCTCAGCAGAAGGGGTTCTGGTTCGAGGACGGCGCGGCTCAGCTAGCGACACGCCGCTCTCCCGGGAGTCGGACATGAACTCACGCTCGGTGCAGTAGTTGCCCTGCCAGCCCTCCAGGCAGTGGCGCCGGCCCCGGGAGTCGCAGTCGTAATGGCCGAAGTCGTCGCTGCGCGGCCGGCACAGGGTGGAGCAGTCGTCGCCGTGGTAATTCTCCATGCACACCACCCGGTAGGAGAAGCTCAGTTCGCTCTGGTCGGCCTGGTGGAGCTGCTGCGACCACTCCTCCCCGACCGCCTGGCTGCCGAGGCGGGTCGCCCGGATCAGCATCCGCGGCTGGTCGCCTGGGCAACAAGCAGACACAAACATCAGCCTCTTCCGACCGCTTCGACTTTCCAGAGGAAAACTTTCCCAGCATCCTCTGCTGTATCTGCGGGCCAGATGTTTCCACCTCTAACCGGGAAGATTAAAGTTCAACCGAAACTTTCAGAATCAATAAAAACAGAAGATAAACCTGATCATTTTATTCATCTGAATCCCTAAAGATTAGAACATTTCTTTCCTCAAAAAGGATCAAAACCCAAATAACAAACAGCGGGACGTTGTGAACATGTTTTCTGTCGCCCCCTGGCGGCCAGGACGCGCCGCTGCGCCGCTCAGCTCGTTACCTGTGGACTTTACACCTGAGGAATCTGCGGTCCAAACCTCCAGAATCAGCGAGAAGGAGCCCTGCGGCGAGACGATCATCAATAATCAATCACCCGTCAGTGACGTGCTGACGTCACACGGCTTGTTTTCACACTTTTCTGCAAACATTTTTAAATCATTTCTATTCTGATTCACACAGAACCGTTCACCTAAACGGAACCGGTTCGGTTCCGGTCACTCACCGGCCACTTGAAGGAGACGTTCACCTTCATGGGCGCGCTCCCGGAGATGGAGCCGGGGTCCGCGGGGAGCGCGGCGCTGCTCGCGTTCCCGTACGTGCACGGCGGCTCGGGGCTGATGACGCTCTGCGAATGTTTGAGGCACATGCGGAAAAAGATGCGGCAGTCCGGGTTCTGGTCGCAGATGCTGCGGGAGCTCCTGACGGTCTGGACCTTCAGCTCGAACACGGCCTTGGTGGACCGAACCTGGAGGAGGGGAGGGAAACTTCAGTCTCTGTGCGTAAAGGCGCGGGACTCCCGGTCCGGTCCGGTCCGGCAGAACCTGTCGGAATCACTCACCGTCTGCACCGGCACCGCCAGCAGGAGCAGGAACAACCGCAACATGTCGCAGCGCCGCCGGCCCGATGCTCGCTGATCTGCGCCAAAAATCAAATGAAAAAACTGCGGAGGAACAAAAGCAGAAGCGCAGCGAGAGAAGAAGAAGGAAAAGTAGAAAACGTCGCAGCAGAAGAAGAAGACGCGGTTTCAGGTCTGATCGACTTTCTGCGCTGAAAAGAAACTGAAGTGCGGCAGTTTGAACTCTGGACTGCGGCAGCTGCGCTTCACCTCCGCTTTATAGAGGGGGGGGCGGAGCCGGGGGAAGGGGGAGGGGGCTCCTGAACCACAGCAGGTCGGTTCCGATCCAGGATGGATCTCCTGTTCTGGTGTAATAACAGTAGCTCTACAGGTTCGGTCCGGACCGACCCAGAACCTGACCTGCTTCCAGATCATCAACTTCTGGTTCTGAATCACGTCACACTCAACAAACAGTTCTGAACACTGTGGTTCCGTTTGGACCCGTCCTCTTCTGAATGGCTCCAGAACCGAACTTGTTCAGGCAGCCAATCAGGAAGCAGCTCTCATCTGATCACCCGACCCAACAGAACTGACACCAAACTTCTGGTTCTGGAGGTCAGCGCGAAATGGACCGGTTCTGGTTCTGGAGCCGTTCCTCTGGATGCAGAAGCAGAACTTGGTTCTGAGGTCAGGAGGTTCGGTCTGCTCTCACCTGGACCGAACCTCGTCCAGCTGCAGGTTCTGGAGATTCAGACCAGAAGCTGCAGCTGGTTCTAACAGAACTTTCTGGGCTGAAACCAGAACCGCTGAGTGTTCGGTGCCAGGTGAGCCGCGGACAGGTAAGCTCAGCCTGTGCGCATGCTCATCTGTTACCTGAGAAAGCAGCGCGTGCAACGGCACGAGACGCTCACACGCACGCGCCTCCATCATGAAGGAGCGATGAGTGACGGCAGAGCGCGTGCGGCTCTCCGGGGACAGGTAGAGCAGTGCGCACGCGCCGCCAGAAAGCGTCATCAGACTGATTATTTGCGCATATTCGATAGCGGGTCTTCTGCGGATGTTGTGACGCTTTCAGCGCGTGTTGCGAACCTCGGCGGCGCTTTGATGTTAGAAATGACAAAGCCCGGTTCCGTCTCTGATTGGCTGCTGGTCAGCTGACCGTCCTTTCATCCTGCTTTCTCACCTCCTTCTGTCTGCGGGTGTGAAACTCGCTGCGCCGTTTGGCGCACGAGCTTTTGTTGAGGTGAGAACTGATGCGTGCGGCGCGTGCCCGCCCGGAGGAGGAGGCGGTTGCCCTGGAGACCGCGGGAAGCTCTGCTGAGGCGCCGGAACCGGCACCGGAACCGACACGCGCGCGGAGCAAAGCGGCGCGAGGACGTAATGGACCGAAACTAACTGCTGATCCGAAAGAAGAACCGGTTCCTTACTGCCAGGAACTGGGTCTTGAACAGAATCGTAGTTCTGGACCAGGATGGGTCCAAAATGTTCCTGAGCTTCAACATGGAATAACCACAGAGCTGGTTCTGGTTCTGATGGACCTCAGGTCCAGCAGAACTCAACAAGAACTGAGATTTCTCCGTTTCAATAGGAAACGTATCACCTAAAGGTCAGAGGTCACATGTGGACCCTCTGATTCAATATCCATATGATCCCAGCAGGAAATAAGACCAGATGATAGCAGCTCAGACTTCATGGGTTCTACAGGACCCGGTTCTACACGACCCGGTTCTGCACAGCCCGGTTCTACACGACCCGGTTCTGCACCAGCAGAGCTTTATGTCCCAGCCTCTTCTCTACAACCAGTTTTTTGCATTTCCGGTCCAGAGTGTAACGTTTCCGGTCAGTGAATCCCAGGCCGGTTGGATTATTATGGTCTGGATTATCATTTTTTGTTGTCTCGTGATTCTGTTTTGATTTTTTTCAAAGTAAAGTAACATATTTGATCATATTGAACCAAATGGAAAGTTTAAAGCGCTTCAGGCGAGCTGCGCGGTCCGGACCCGGTTCTGACCCGGTTCTGATCCATGTCAACAGGATCACAGCAGGTTCCCCTCCCTCCGCCTGCGTGGGAGCGAGTGGAGTGTGAAGCGCGTGGGGTTTTCACACCTACCTGCTGAGCGCCTGGCAGGTGCCAACAAGCCGCGCGGAAGGCCTCCTGTTCCCGCCACGCGCCGCGGCCTTCCGCGCCCCCCGCGGCGGCGCGCGCACTTCGCGGCCTCGTGCGAAGTGCGGCTTTTGTTTGGCGCAGCTGGTTGCGGGACGAGCTGCGGGTGTGAAGCGAAGGTGTTGCGGCTTCCTGACTCCCACAGTTTGCTGCGGAGCCGAACCCGGCGCAGGTTCTGGTTCTGACCCAGCAGCTTCCGTTGCCGCACAGAACCGCGTCCGGCCCGGTTCAGCCAACCGAACCAAAGGGTAGAACCGAACCAGAACCGCTGACCCAGTAACGGAACATTCATAAAGTGGAGATTCTGCTGAAACCCAACAGAACCGACTTTTACTTGAACTGCTGCCAGAAGGTTCTGATGAACCGTCTGGTTCCGACCAGAACCGGCCCGGTCTTCGCAGCTCTACTCACACATCGGCTCTCAGAACCAGCAGGTCCAATCATCATCATCATCATCATCACTTCTGATTCAATAGTTTCAGGTTCCATTGAGGTTCTGGTCCGGCTAAAAGTATTCCAGGTTCTGACCCAACAGAACCGGGCTAACAGTGAAAATGTTTACATTCAATCTGGAAACCAAAGTTCTGATAAAATTCTGATCCAAAACTAAAGTTTCATGTTTAATCTTGGTCTTCATGGACGGTTCCGCCTCAGATTTGGACCAGAACTCCATCAGGTGTCCAACAGAACCAACGGGCCCACAGCATGACGTTCTGATGACTCAATCGCAGTTATCAATCAATAATCAATAATATCAGTGTTCTGGTTGAAAATCTAGTTTATTCCAGTAAATATCAGAATATTACATCAGAGCAATGAAAAGTTCTGGTTCTGATCCGGCTGAGGGACGGGCCAGCAGAGACTGGCTGCTCACAGCTGCGTCCAAGCAGAGAAAGTTGAGTGGAAGGAAGAAGGCTGAGTTTATTATTCAACTTTTTATTGGTCTGATGTTCTGAAGGTCCGGTTCCAACCCAGAACCGGGCCTGCCGGGCTCAGCTGGTGGAAAATCACACCACGTTTGTTGCGTTCGGAGCTTTATGAGCCGACAGAAAGCTTCGGAACCGCAGCAGCAGCTCCTCCAGCGGTTCCGGTCCGGTCCAACGTCCACCAGAACCGCCGCTCACATTTAAACATCAGTGATTTATTCTGTACTGTCAGAGTTACTGCGCCCCCTGCAGGACGGGGGGAACCGATACCAGGTCCGGTCCAGGGTGGAGGAGGGAACCAGAGCTGGTTCTGGTTCAGCCGCCGACCTCCAGCAGGTCCAAACTCACCTGGGTCCAATCAGGACACACAGAGAGGAAGGGGGCCGGGGCTTCCAGAGCCCCGCTCCGCTTCCAGAACCCGCTCCGCTTCCAGAACCCGCCTTCTGGGTCGGGGGGCTGCGGGCCTCACTGCTGCTTGGAGCGCCAGAACCGGGTCGCGATGGAGCCCAGAGAGAGAGGCGGCTTCTTCTGCTGGGAGAGGTCCGCCAGGCGCTGCTGCTCCTCCTGCCAGGGTGACACCGGGTCAGAACCAGAACCACAACAGAACCGGGTCAGAACCAGAACCGTCCCACCTGGGCCAGCTGGGCCTGGCGGCGTTTGAAGGCCTCGATGGGGTCGTCCTCCAGGGCGTAGTTCTCCAGGACGCTGCGCACGTCGTCCACACCGCTCAGAGCGATTGCTGCAGGGAGGGAAACCCACCGGGTCAGGTCCGGGTCGGGTCCAGAACCGGGTCGGTCCCGGACCCGACCGGTTCTGGAACGTCGCAGCTTTCTGCTCATATCTGGACCAAACCTGGCGCTGAAACGCTTCAGAAAATCTGAGTAACTGGAAACAGAAAGAATTGAATCTGGATCCAGTTGATGTTCGGTTCTGGTTCTGGATCATTTTAAACGGGTCAAACAGTCCAGATGTTCTGCTGGTTTATTTTCCCTTTAAGGTTCTGATTATTGAAAGAAAATTGAAATAATGTGAGAAAATCTCATCATAATTTAGAGAAATTGTTCTGCTTTAGCTCTGGGCTAAAAATGCAATGCTGACCCATTCGAACCCATCAGAACTTTGATTCTGTTGAGAGATCCAAACGGGCCGAGCCGCCTCCTCTTTTGAAATCCTGATTTAGTTTACTCGTTTCACATTTCTGATCATTTTGAACTAAAATTAATTAAGTTCTGGCTCAGGTCCAGAACCAGAGCCGCCGGGTCGGGTCCAGATCCGCTCACCCTTCAAGAAGTTGGCGAGGTCGTAGAGGGTCCGGTCGTCGGAGTTTCCGTCCCACTTCCTGAGCGCCAGGCCGTTGAAGGGCTGCAGCTGGAACGCCTCGCGCTTGCAGTCCACCACGATCACCTTGCTGCTGGCCCGGTTCAGACACGACACGTCCTGCAAGACAGACGGGTCAGAACCGGCCGACTGGGACCTGACCCCACGCGGTCGCCCGCTGTTCTGCTCAGCGATGCCTCCTGGGGGCCCGGAGGCCCCGTAGCAGGTCAGTGTTCCTCTAAGGAGCCACCAGTAGAGAAGCAGGAAGAACCGAAACATGCAGGATACTGGGCCTCCAGAACCCGCGGGGGGCCTCCAGAACCCGCGGGGGGCCTCCAGAACCCGCGGGGGGCCTCCACAACCCGCGGGGGGCCTCCAGAACCCGCGGGGGGCCTCCAGAACCCGCGGGGGGCCTCCAGAACCTGCGGGGGGGCCTCCAGAACCTGCGGGGGGGCCTCCAGAACCTGCGGGGGCCTCCAGAACCTGCGGGGGGGCCTCCAGAACCTGCGGGGGGGCCTCCAGAACCTGCGGGGGCCTCCAGAACCTGCGGGGGGCCTCCAGAACCCGCGGGGGGCCTCCAGAACCCGCGGGGGGCCTCCACAACCCGCGGGGGCCTCCACAACCCGCGGGGGCCTCCACAACCCGCGGGGGCCTCCACAACCCGCGGGGGGCCTCCAGAACCCGCGGGGGGCCTCCAGAACCTGCGGGGGGGCCTCCAGAACCCGCGGGGGCCTCCAGAACCTGCGGGGGGGCCTCCAGAACCGCGGGGGGGCCTCCAGAACCCGCGGGGGCCTCCACAACCGCGGGGGGCCTCCACAACCCGCGGGGGGCCTCCACAACCCGCGGGGGGCCTCCAGAACCCGCGGGGGGCCTCCAGAACCTGCGGGGGGGCCTCCAGAACCCGCGGGGGGCCTCCAGAACCCGCGGGGGCCTCCAGAACCCGCGGGGGCCTCCAGAACCTGCGGGGGGGCCTCCAGAACCCGCGGGGGCCTCCACAACCCGCGGGGGGCCTCCAGAACCCGCGGGGGGCCTCCAGAACCTGCGGGGGGGCCTCCAGAACCCGCGGGGGGCCTCCACAACCCGCGGGGGGCCTCCAGAACCCGCGGGGGGCCTCCAGAACCTGCGGGGGGGCCTCCAGAACCTGCGGGGGGGCCTCCAGAACCCGCGGGGGGCCTCCAGAACCTGCGGGGGGGCCTCCAGAACCCGCAGGGGCCTCCACAACCCGCGGGGGCCTCCACAACCCGCGGGGGGCCTCCACAACCCGCGGGGGGCCTCCAGAACCCGCGGGGGGCCTCCAGAACCTGCGGGGGGGCCTCCAGAACCCGCGGGGGGCCTCCAGAACCCGCGGGGCCTCCAGAACCCGCGGGGGGCCTCCAGAACCCGCGGGGGGCCTCCACAACCCGCGGGGGCCTCCACAACCCGCGGGGGCCTCCACAACCCGCGGGGGCCTCCACAACCCGCGGGGGGCCCACAGGTAAAACTTTCTGACTGGACATAAACCATCTAAAAATTCCCTCATCAGAAAACTGAAAATAATAATACATCGATTTCTGTTGTTTCACAGCAGGGGTCCCCAAAGTGGGTCCCTGAGGGCCGACATCCTCAGTTCTCTCTGGTTTAACTGGATCGACCGATGGCTCGTCAAGCCCAGTTCACGCTACACGGTTTTGTGGCCCGGTTCTGAGTTCTGTCACCGATCGTCCTGTAGTGTGAGATGTGCTACGACTGACCGGGTCCAGTTGGCACAACGGTGGAACCGCTAATCAGGGATATTCAACATGTTTGATCGTGTTGGCTCGTTTGCCTGGTAGCCAATCAGAAAGCGGCGTGACGTAAGCATGGTGGGGAATCCCAGAACAGCTGGCATGGAGCAACTCAGAGTGCGCTGGACATCTGAAGATCGTTTGCAGGTGGAAAGAACGCGAATGTTCATTTAACATTTCGTCTGAAGAGAATCACAACAGAAATGACAAAGAAAGAAGCTGGAGCCAAATGGACCCGGAAGCTTCTGCTGCTGTTAGAGCTGATGAATGAAATGAGCTTTGGAGGGAATTAGATCTCATCAAACCATCAGTAAAGCGTTATCCTTGTTCAGAGCAGCTATTGGATCTGTTTAAATCTAAATTATTGCATCTGGTTTAGAAGTGCATTCTGACCTCTGGCTGAAATGGGGCATTTGATTTCATTCTGTAGTAATAATGCAACAGAGAAAAATACAAAAACTGTTATGCTGTGTTATTCTCTTTGTAGTCTAGATACAGGAGCAAATAGAGAAAAAGATATAAGTGCAGAAATATTGCGCAGCTTCAGGAGCGATGATATAATAATTACCATTAATTCCCATTTGGGTTTCAATTAAAGGAGCTGGAATATGTTAACCTTTCGCAGTCAATTGGAGGGAAACAGGAAAACTGATGAACAGGAAGTGCTGTCTTCTAGTTTCAGCTACTCTTCAGTCATTGAGTTTCTGAAACAATCCAGTATATGCAGATGTTCTGTTGGTCAGCGTTAAACGGTAACGGTTAATTAAACGAGAAAACCGAAAAAATGTACAAATTAAAAGCAGTATTTCTGTATTTATGAGGAAAAAAAGCTCTTCCTTATTGTGGTTCTTGCTCCAGTTCTTCATCCAACGCTTTGATTTTTGCTGACGTCCTTTTTGGGTTAAAATAAATCCACAAACTCAAGTTACTGCTTCAACGTCGTCCATGTTTATTCACTCTGAATTCAGGTGTGCAGAAGTTGAAGGGATTTCAGATCTGGACCTGGAACGTCCTGAACCGTCAAACCTCCCATTTTAAATGGGCCAGCGTCTCACGTTTGGAGAATCGGCCGACGATTCTACAGTGGAGTCGTGTGAACTGGACTTCACAGGCGTCAGAAGAACATTGACATTCTGAAAAGGTTGTGACTGAAACCAACATGCAGGATGTCGGCCCTCCAGGACCCACTTTGGGGACCCGTTCCACACAAACACCACAGATAAAGCCATCGACAGTCAGAACCTGCCAGACAGACCGGTTCTGGACCCGGAAGCTGACCTTGACATGGTGACCCTCCATGTAGCGCGTGGCGTCCCTGAAGAGGCGGTACATGACGAAGCCCTGCGGGTCGATGCTGTCGATCAGAGGGTACGCCGTCTGCGAACACAAACACAGCCCGGCTCGGTTCTGACCCGTCGCTGCAGGACGGCGCCGTGTGACCCGCTGTGTTCGGGTCGCTCACCATGCCCGTCTCGGCCGTGAAGATGACGATCTCGTAGAGCGGCGCCAGCTGCTGGAACAGGAAGTCGATGCCGGGCCTCTTCTTGAAGCGCCACCCGGTGGACAGCTGGGCACAGAGCACAACGATCGGGTTACAGGTTCCGACCGACCCGGTTCACAGCAGAACCGGAGAAAATCGGAGGCTCCGACGCAAGCCGCAGCACAGGTCAAAGGTCATAGAGAGACCCACCGACCACTCCGGGTGCAGCAGAACGTCGGTCAGCTCCAGAACCAGAGTGTACGGCGGCTGGTAGTACGGCTCCTTCAGCGGGTCGGGAAGCAGCTTCGGACTCGTCGGCTCGATGATCATCTGGAGGACAGACGGCAAAGCTGCAGAACCTTCCAGAACCACGCAGGACCTGCAGAACTTCCTGAATCTGGTTCTGCTGGGAAACAATCCCCTGGTGGAAGGTTCTGATCCAGTCCGGAGGAACCAGAACCAGCCATTTTGCCGCTCCTGGTTCCAGAAGAACCAGCTGGCGGTTCTGCTCACCTGTCGGTAGTCCTTGAAGTACTTGTAAGTTCTCCTGAGCTGCTGGACGACGGGCGGATCTGGAACAGAACACAACACCCATCAGAACCCAAACCCGCCACAGGTTCTGCTGACCGGTTCTGATGCCCTTTCAACCAGCCTGGCTCAGTTCTGCTGGGCTTTCTGGGTTTTCCATCAGGACTATGCAGCACCAGAACCCCGTCGCTACCGGGTCGGGTCAGTGGGGATAAGAATCCGATCCGATGACAACGGCTGAATGAGCCGACACACACACACACACACACACACACACACACACACACACACACACACACACACACACACACAACCACACACACACACACACACAGACACACACACACAGACAGACACACACACACACACACACACAAACACACACAGACACACACACACACACAGAGACACACAAACACACACAGACACACACAGAGACACACACACACAGACACACACACACAGACAGACACACACACAGTCACACACACACACACACTCACATACACACACACACACAGTCACACACACACACACACACAGTCACACACACACACACACACAGTCACACACACACACACACACACACACAGTCACACACACACACCAGAGCGGAGTGCTGATCCAGAGGAACTCCTCCTCCCAGAGTTCATTTATTTTCCTCCAGCACCTGGAAGGTTTCAGG